TCACATTGACAATGTCATCAAGAAAATTGCCAAGAAGTATGGAATACTATGTTGACTGAAAAACGATTTAACTATTGCCAGTAAAATACAGCTATGCAAATCAATCATCTCTCCTCATCTGTGGTGTTTTGATCGCTATTGCGCAGCGATATGACAGCCGTGTTGTACAAACCGTGAGTGGGAAAAGTTTGGAACAAATATGTGTTTTCTCGACGATCAAAGGCAGAAAGGTTTGAATGTGTGCAATCTATATTCCACCGGACAATAGCCAAGATGTAATTCTAATCAATGACCACGTTTCCTCCCTTAATGAGCTTTGTGGAAAGTATTCGACTGGTGACGCTCTCCTGGTATGTGGTGATTATAATCAACCACGCATGCGCTGGTGTTCAATTGACAACGTCATCCAATGTGATGCTTCACCACTACAGCTGTCCAGTAGCACTCTTTTGGATGGTATGGATTATTTGTGCCTTGGCCAAAGGAATCTTGTGCGCAATCCGCTCGATCGCAATTTCGATCTGGTTTTTTGTTTGCCTGATTGTGAGGCTAATGTGAATAGCTGCTCAGCTCCGTTGCTACCCGTTGACTCTCACCACCCCCGCTTGAGATCTCTCTACCAGCGCTTGTGGTCGGTGACGAACCTATTGAAAGACATGAGGAGCGACCTCTAAACTTTCGAATGATTGATTTTGCGGCCCTTTCGAACTTTTTGCTAAACGTTGACTGGAATGCGATATCTACTATCATAGATGTCGATGAAATGGCGGAAATGTTTTGTTCCATTTTGAACGCTTGGCTTGTTTCGAATGTTCCACGAATTCGGCCGTCAGTTTCGCCTGCCTGGAGTACTCTCCGTTTACGGGATTTAAAACGCACTCGCAATGCTTGTCAACGGAAACTACGTCGTCAACGAACGCCTGGCAACAAACGAAGTTTTCAACAAGCCAGCAATGCGTACCGGTTTTTGAATGCCACTCTCTACAAATCTTACGTATTGCGTGTGCAAATTGGTCTGAGAATAAATCCACGTGGTTTTTGGCGCTTTGTTAACTCCAAACGGAAAAGTGCAGTGATCCCAACGAATGTCTACCTGAACGAAACGACTGCAGCGTCAGCTACAGAGTCATGCCAGTTGTTCGCCAAGCATTTTGCATCCGTATTCGCGACGAATCCCGCCTCAAACTTGGAAATCGATGAAGCCACCAGTGATGTTCCCGTTGATTTTGTTGAGTTTGGACTGTTTGCTGTAAATCCAGAAATAGTTTCATTGGCTGCAAATAAACTGAAACGTTCGTTTGTCCCTGGTCCTGATGGTTTGCCTGCAGTTATAATATGCCGTTGTATTGCCGCTTTAGCACAACCGTTGTGTGATATCTTCAATCGCTCACTTCAGCAAGCATTTGGAAGCAATCGTTTATGACACCCATTTTCAAACGTGGTGATCGTTACAATGTTGTTAACTATCGGGGAATCACGAGTCTCTCAGCTGTCTCAAAATTGTTTGAGATTATAGTGGGTGGAGTTATTCTCGATGCCACAAAAAGCTACATATCCTCTGATCAACACGGATTCATGCCCGGACGATCGGTTACCACCAATTTGTTGAATTTTACGTCGAAGTGCATAAAAAGTATGGAGGAAAATGCGCAAGTCGATGTAATTTATACCGACCTGAAGGCGGCGTTCGATAAAATTGATCCTAACATACTGCTACACAAGTTATCTCGTCTTGGAGTTTCTATGCAATTGATTTTTTGGTTGGAATCCTACCTTACAGAGCGTGTACTTCGAGTGAAGGTTGAGGGTTTTGTATCTTCGCCGTTTTCAAACAAGTCTGGAGTTCCACAAGGTAGTAATCTCGGACCGTTGCTGTTTATTCTGTTCTTCAACGATGCTGCTTTGGTTTTGGGCGAAGGATTCAAACTGGTCTATGCAGATGATTTAAAGCTGTACATTGTGGTGCGCACACAAGAAGATTTTTCGCTTCTGCAAAACTCGCTGACTTTGTTTGCCGATTGGTGCCAGAGAAACAAACTGACTATTAGTGTGGAAAAATGTCAGATAATCACGTTTCACCGCATGATGCATCCAATTTTGTTTGACTATCATATCGACGGCGATACTCTTACCAGAGTTACCAGTGTGACTGATCTAGGGGTTCAACTAGACACAAAAATGACTTTTGATTTACACCGTTCAGCGCTCATATCGAAAGCAACGCGACAGTTGGGCTTTATTTCCAAAGTTGCGAAGGATTTTTCGGATCCACATTGTTGGAAGTCATTGTACTGTGCACTTGTCCGTCCAATTTTGGAAAATGTGTCCGTCGTTTGGCATCCTCACCATGTCACGTGGTGCCTAAGGATCGAACGGGTTCAGAAACGGTTCATTCGTCTGGCACTGAGAAATCACTGATAGATGCCGACTGTTGGGCTTAGACACACTGGAACAACGACGGAAAGTACAGCAATCGTTGCTTATTGCTAAGCTGTTGAATGGTGAAACTGATGCCCCCGACCTGCTTGCGATGTTGAACTTTCGTGTGCCGAGCAGATCTCTTCGGAATACAACGCTAATGCAACCAAGTTTTCACCGAACCATGTTTGGGAACAACGAACCAATCTCAGCGTGTATTCGTGTTTTTACGGCTGTCGAAGAGTTTTTCGAGTTCAATGAACCAACCGAACGTTTTGCAAATCGGATTAGGTCTGTGTTAAATTAGCTCTAATTTATTCATTAAGACTAAATTGTCAGATGAATTATTTTAAATACAAATACAAATACAAATCTAGACTTTTGCTCATCCATTTTATTTCTGTCCAAAGCAACACAAATATCGAGATTACAGCGCTTGCAGAATAAAATAATGCGTTTGATATTGAGATGTAATAGATTCACATCCTCAACTTTGACGCTAGACGCCTTACAATGATTGTCGTTGAAGCAAAGAATTGTATATTTGACTATGGTGTTCATTTTTAAAGTACACACTTAGAAATAACTAATTTTACACGTGACGGAATCCATCTTTGACATAAAAGATGAGACGTAAACAAACATGTCATGTAATATTAAGTGCTCCAAGACTGAAAAGTTCATTGCTCGACGAAAAGTACGTTTGATTCAGCTATATTTCGCGTCTGTTATGACTCAAATTTATGTCAAAATTGACGCTCGTATATGTCACTCTCAGAGCACCTAAATTTACATGAATTTTTCTAAGTGTGTAGTTAACGGTTTGCTGCCTCGATATTTGTGTGATCGAATTGAAAGAGGAAGTGACTAACATAGATATAATACTAGAAACGCGTATGAAATAAGAACACCACATTTCTTGACTTGTGCTTCACAGAATTCATTGTTTTTTTAAAGGAATATATGTTTTCAATTCGATGCCTAGACATATCAACCGTTCAGCAACAGTTACAGAATTTAAAAGACTCCGCATTTCACATGTTAAAACTGTCTTTTGAACAGTTATCCAGTGATCTTTTTTTATGAATTGACATATTATGTATCTTGACGAAGTTATCTCTAACGGATTATTTTATAAGGATAGCTGTCATGACGAATTTTTTTTAATAATTATTGTAGCACTGCAAAAACTTTTTATGTTCGCCTAGATGGTGATGATGGATTTTTAATATTTGATTTAATAGTAGATTAATTAAAAAAAGTAGTCTACACAGGTTTGAGCCTCGCGCGCGTACTACAAATATAGAGGACCGATTTTAACATTTGATAAAAAATGAATTTTGAAGCTTATTTGGAAGATGCCTTGAATTAGTAGTCTGGCAAATGTTGGGGGTTCGTGAGCATTCCTGACATTGCTGAAAATTATGATAGCATCAGATTGCGGGGTTGCTAGTGTAATATGATGCTTTGTTGATTGTTCATTAGCTCTTGATTGCTTCAAACTTATGAATATTTTAGGTGGACAAAAAGGCGAGCTAAGAGGTGGACGCCTCAGATTTTTCACATTTATATCGCTGTGAAGCAACTGTAAACTCGAGAGGGAATTTATATCTGTAACTGTAACCAGTTCGATTTTGTTTGCTAACGTGGTTAACATGTCATATTCAATTATCTTAAAGATAAACCGTCCAGCTCAAACCTTTGTAGGGGTAAGATGTGGGACCATCATCATCATCATCATCATTTATTCCTTGAAAATCATTCGTTCTTGGCACTTTTAGAACTTTTGGTGACACTCATTTCTTAGATAGAAAATTGTTTTCATGGGCAACGTTGCTTCAAATAAATTGTTATACAACTTTGTCTAACATTGCACTGGTCTATTTCACACAATAAGAATGTTGATACTAAGAACTCACTAACAAAAAAGGACCACGTTAATTTCACTCACTTCAAAAGATTGGCTAAAGCATATCTCGAAAAAAATATATGTATGTTTCTGCCATCAGTATTTTGATGCTTTATGTAAGTAACATAATTTCTAGTTGAAAATACTGGTCTGGGATCTATGATCATTCTGCGACTGAGATAGGAAAAACTTTGGTAGCCTCTGAAGATATGAGAATAAATGAAACCATCACTTACAAAACTTTTTAAGTTAATATAGGTTAATAGCCCAGATAAAAAATCACAAATTCCACTTTCGCTCATAGCTACTGAAGTATGATACTCTTCAATCTTGTTTCCATACAACATCACTGTTTTTCAGGCCTGGGTTCAATCCTAGTCGGCGCCAACGGAATGTTCTGAGTAGGGTCCAGGTGTGGGAGCTGCCTCCCTGGCGTCGGTAGCATTGGTGCTCAGCGACGGAAAACAAATCAAGGAAAAAAAACATCACTTTTGATTGTTATTGCCTCATTACTACCCAATGTGAAATGGAGCAAACACTCAATCGATAAATCGAATCCGAACTGCAACAGTATAAAGCCATGCAATCTCGTTTTTTTCTGATAATACCCCACTATTTGTACAACTGGTTCCGTTTTCACTCAGCACGTGCAATGGTTTATCACTTTACAAACCTGCGATTCCTCCGAGGTACGTTTTCCCACGAAGAGCGTTGCAAATTCTCCCCGCAACGGCAGTATTTCTCCGTTTTCCCCAACAGTCATGTTTTTCACTTTATCGCACTTTTCACTCCCAAATCTAAGTGTTCTCCTGCGGGAATCACTACTTCCGTTGCGCTCGATTTGTACGAAAGACGGCTACTAAAAGTCCCGTTTAGAGCTTCATCCCGCCTGAGTCAGTATTCCTTTCTAATTGCTGCTCGCGAAACGGTGTGCATTTTTATAGATTCCGAGTACTTGCCAAGTGTACGTAGTAAGCGAAATACTATATACTAATGCCAATAGTAGAGGAGAGCACCCCCTGGGGTAAAACACCCACCTGTCGAAAAACAACGATAACTTTTCCTCAGATGCTTTTTCCCGGGTAACGGATTGTGCCTGTTACCATCCTCCAATTCCTGATCATGAAATCATGGAATGGTATTCTGAGCAAAACATGACACAGTTGTTAAAATCATCGACTTCAAATTAAGCATCATAGTGGTGCCGGTGGGGTAGTGGTAGGCGTGATTGCCTCTCACCCCAAAAAGCCTGGGTTCAACACCAGTCGGCGCCACCGGGATTTTCTGAGGCATAATATCTCTGATCACGCCTTCCTTCAGAAAGAAAATAAAGCCGTAACTCTATTGAGGCCGTATTGCTAATGTTAAGGGGAAGCTCACCACTCCGAAAAAAATAATTACGTTTTGATTTTTCTAAAAATATTGGAAAAAGATATCAAAAATCTAAAAAAATCACATTTTGTCTAATTTTTCAAAGAAAATTCACGTGCAAAAACATTTTGTATGAGTTATTATGGCATAACGTTGGACTCAAAAAACCACAAAACATCGATTTTTCGGTTTTGCTGAGAGTCCAATTTTTTTTCATGATGAGATAGAAAAAATATTTTTACATGTAATTTTTGAAAAAAATCTAGGGAAGAAACTGATTTTCTTGGATTTTTTATATTTTTTTCCAATATTTTCAGAAAAATAAACTTTATCGAAATTATTTTTTTTATTTTCGGGCCGGTAAGCTTCCCCTTAAATAAAGGAATAAAGTCTGATCCACTTAGAATCCGGACACTTTATTAATTCTATATCAGCGCCTCTAGTGCTCGGATTCGGAATATTTTGACAGTGATTTGTTTCGAAAGAATACGTGTTTTAGTGGTGAAAGTTTCGTGCAGTATTAAAAAAAATGTACTAGATGGAAGACGTGAAAAGAAAATTGATCCTGCACACCCACGTCGAAAACCCGACGTGGTCAATTCGAAATATCGCGAAAAAATGTCAAGATGGATATCAGGTAGGTTCCCGGACAAAAGTTTTACGCACGAGGTGAAGAACATTGGAAAGACGACTCAGGACACTGCAAAGATGGTACGATGTTGAAAAAAAAAATAGGGCCGCTTAGGTTGACAAGCGGTGCATTTTACCCAATCTTGTGGCGCATATTGCACCATGAATCAGGTGTTTTATCTTATATTTTTTGGAATAGATTTATAAAATGCTTTGACAATCATGAAAAATCATCGTTTTGGAGTTCGAAATTACTCGATCTTCGTAGAAAATGAACCATACTCAAATACTTTCTCCTTGATTTCAGCTTCCATTTGCAAGCAATCGACGATTTTGCTTAAACCGTGCGTTTTGCACCATCCACACCCTACTATTTGATATGCCAGAGAATGTTCCTACCTACTACAGTGCATCCCACGTTGCTAGCGTGTGGCAGTTGACTTTCTGGTTAGGTGGTATTTTCTAAACAATAACTATTCCGTATAATTCAAATCTTGCTTACTTCTTCGAAGGGACTCATCGGCTCTTGTAAACAATGAATTTGATCGTCGGTTTGGTGTAACTGGTAGCTCACCCCCGCATACTAACACCCTATCTGATGGTAGTGTTACGATGCGTGGGAGAGCTACCAAAATCGACGATCAAATTCATTGTTTACAAGAGCCGATGCGTCCCTTTCAAAAAGTAATCGCGAAATACTTCGTTGTTCGGGAGGGAATTTCCCAGAAACTATAAGAGAGCATCTATGACTTCACTACACTGGACGAGGTGGGAGGGTTTCATATGTGTGACTAGCAATGCATTTGGTATAGGAAAAACGTGACGTAATGGAAGGGGCCCATTTTCCCTAAATATCGCGTGACGTACTTAATACATGCTACATAACTCGGAGTCCTTTTATAGGGCGGTTGTTGAATGAAACCACCAACAAAAAAAAAATTCGCTGCGTATTTAAAATGATGATGAAATGCAGTCGCTAGGTTTCATTTCAAAGTGTCACTGTGCCTTGCTAGTCAAATATTGATTTTCTTTCCGGTGCAGCAGGGTGACGTCGCTGCGATAAATTATGAATGGTTGTAAAATTTTACGCTTCAACAATACACATGTATAGCACTGGGTGTGATGTAAGAATGAACTCTACTCAATCACCCTACACGGTAAGAAAAAAGTACCCAAAAGTAAGTTCTTTTCACTCATCTCGGCACTATAGTGCAGGAACCCAAAAGTAGATAAAGCGAATCAAACTGGCCGTTGGGAACTTTTTTCTTACCGTGTAGCACATTCATCGTCTTAGAGGCATTGCGCATGAAGCGAAATGTTTCACAGGAGTAGTAATCCGTGACTGCTGAGTGTATGTTATGATGCACCGCGTTGTATATGCCACGAACGCACATTCCAACAAACCACGTGGACAGATTTTGATTTTGATAGTCAGCCATACAAGTTTAAAAAAAATTGGTGGGGTTGTTTACAAGACACGACCGCTGGTTAACGTAGACAACGTTAGGCTGTGTAGTGAAATTCTCGTGCATTTTTCTAGATATTGATTTAAAATAAAGTAGAAGTAACCTATGATTTCGGTCCTATGTACATATTTTGGATCTCCTACTTAGTAAAACTTGGTTAAATTCAGGACCTCATAAAAATGCGAATACATATTCTATTACATTTGGTTCCTAAATTACAATCAGATATGAGTAAGGCTTTCTTCAGGTAATTCATTGAAGCGTCCAACAATGATTCCCTATCACTTTAAGATTTCTAGGACACAAATCTTGGACGGTTGTGACATCTCTCATGAAATTGAAACTCCTTGTGTACTGGACTGCAACAAACGTGAAGTTCCAGTTTCTTTGTTATAAATTTTGTGAGAGCTGATATCTGTACTCTTGAAATTTTTCTATGGTAATGAGATTGATCCTCAGCGATTCAACTTCAAAACGCTAAAAATAAATGCACACACAAAAACGGAGTGCACAATTTTGCACCAATGTTATGCAACATTTCATAGTTGATCGGGATGATATCAATTAGCCATGAATCCCTCCAATGAGTTCTCGGTACATCTTTTATCTACCGATTGAACAATCCATCTGTTGTACATCGGCCGATTTTCGAGAAAGCGTCTGTCAAAACTGTTGTGTCCCGTAATTAAACACGGCAGATTACAGGAACAACTTGAACAATATATTTATTAAACGTCTTAGGAAAAATGTGTCTTTATATTTATTACGTCGTTAATTGACATATCAACAGCGTAAAGTTGGCTGCGATGCACAGCTTCCGCTGCTGAAGTTTTTCTTTTAGCACCAATGTTGCTTACCGTAAGGTGGTGCTATAACATCTCCCTCTTTAGGACATAACGTAGTGCTCAAATCTTGGAGGAAGGCGAACCGGTCGTCCTCGAAAAGTGGTAGCCACAGGAATCCGACTTCCAGGCACCCCTCGAAGTGTTGACTCTTGACTTGACGCTGGAACAGATGATCGTTGTCCTGGATGCCCATTCGGTTGATTTGGTTGACCTTCAGGTGGCTGATCCTCCGGAACATCTACCGTTGGTTGTGGATTGATGTTGAACTCGCCAAGTAATATTGTCAACGGCAACGATTCGTGATGTTTTGCTGCAAACGGTTCTCTTTCGTTATAATTCACTACGGTGTGTCGTGGACGGAGTTGATTGATGTGAGATCGGATGAGACCAACTCGCTGTCCATCCAACCAGATATTGTAATTTACTGTTCCAATCTTCTCGATTACCTTTCCTGCTTCCCAGTACCAATCATTCCGCTTGTGCACCTTGGCGTACACCAAATCACCTGCGTTGAACTGCCTTGGTTGTTGAGCCGTTTCCAAGTCGACGGGTTTGGAGATTTCCGTCGGCCGCAATAGGTCAAGCGTTGTTCTCATCTGTCTACCGAACATCATTTCACTCGGTGATTTCTGCTCGGTAACTCCGCTTGGCGTTGAGCGGTACGTAGCCAGAAACACTTCTAGTGTCTCCTGGAGGGGTTCTCCCTTGTTGATTTTCTTCATCGCACGCTTCATCGAATCTACAAACCGCTCCGCCTGTCCGTTTGACTGCGGATGGTAGGGAGCGGTGAGCAGGTGTGTGATTCCATTCAATTTGCAGTACGTTTCGAATTCTTCGCAAGTGAATTGTGCAGCGTTGTCCGAAACAATCGTCAATGGCAATCCCAACCGTGCGAAAGTGCTTCGAAGAAACTGTATTGTTACTTTGGCCGTAGTTGTCTTCGTTGGGTAGATCTCCGGCCATCGTGAAAACGCATCAACAATGATTAGGAACCAAAGTCCATCGATTGGCCCCGCAAAATCAATATGCAGACGCTGCCATGGTCCAGATGGAGTTGGCCATGCTTCCGGTGTAGCATGAGCTGGAGACTTAGCTACAGATGCGCATTCCTTACACTGTTTAACGTAGGTTTCGATTTGTCCATCAATGCCAGGCCAAAACACGAAACTCCGAGCTTACATTCTTCCGTCCAGTCCCACTGCCTGTCCTTTTGGAGCAGCTGGTCTAAAGGTTTACGCAGTAGGTGCATTTCCTTGATGAACTTCGCATAATAATTCACTGCGCCCAAGAAAGAACGAAGCTCCGTGACATTCCTGGGTGGAGGCATTTGTGAAATTGCCGATACCTTCTCCGGATCTGTTCGAATGCCATCACGATCGATAATATGTCCCAAATACTTCACTTGACTCATGCAAAATTTTCACTTCTCAATCTTGAGCCGAAACCCGTACTCCTGGATCCGTTGAATTGTGTTTTCGAGGTTCTGGTCGTGCTTAGCTCTTGTTTTCCCGAACACATTAACGTCGTCGAGAAAAGATTCAGTTCCTTCCAAATCGCCAATCATGTTGTCGATAACTTTTTGGAAGGCTCCTGGAGCTGATTTTACCCCCGGAGGAAGCCGCTTATATTTGAAGAGTACTTTGTGGGTATTCACTGTCAGCAACTTCTGGGAATCCTCCTCAACTTCCATCTGTAGATATGCATCTGACAAGTCCAGCACACTAAAGTACTGACTGCCACTCAGCTTTGCGAAAATGTCGTCAGGAGTAGGTAGAGGGAACTTATTTGCTTCCAGCACCGCATTGAGCCCCGTGGAATAATCCGCGCAAATACGCACTATCGGATCTCCGTCTGCGTCACGCTGTGCCTTGCGAACAGCAACAATGGGTGCCGCCCAGTTCGAGAAGTCCACCTGCTCGATGACACCAAGGTTTTGAAGTCGCTGGAGTTCCTTCTCCACCAGTCGTTGTGAATGGAAAGGCACCGGCCTTCTGGGTTTGAATACCGGCTTCACCCCTGGTTGAAGAAATAGCTGAACCTTTGTTTTCGTACAACGTCCGAGCCCATCTTGAAAAACCGCTGGATACTTTGCCTTCAGTGCATTGCAATACACCTCCGAATCTCCTACGGTCGTAACTAGCTTGCAGAACGAATTAATCGGAACGTCATACAGACCAAAAGCATCCATGAGATCGCTTCCGAGAACGTTGAAGCCTTTCACCGATGTCACGTAGCACACCGAACGCTTGGTCAATCCCTTCAGTGTAACCTGGCACTCGAACTCCGAATTCAGTGGTAGTAGCTTGCCTGATGCTGTAGTTACTTTCAGACTCGTGGAACATGTTTCCGGATCACCGAGCTGTGTTAGTGACTCCTCAGAAACAATCGTGTAGTCCGAACCGCAATCGATTTGAAGTTCTATCGGGAAATCGTTTAGGCAAGGGAAGCGAATTCGCAAGCGAATTCGCGGGTGCATCCCACTCAAGCAACTTCCGGTGATTCTGCTGGCCAAAGCTCTCCATCCCCCCTGGATTCTGGAGACAACCAACAGCGCAAAACAACAACCCCGATCTGTTCTCAGTGGATGAACTGATGGAAATTTTCGTCAACATGTCCGGTGCTCTTCGTAAGTGCCGCAATAAGCCCGCACAGATCCAAGTGCTCGGTAAGTTCATTATCCAGTATGGCGTCTAAACCGCTAACTACCGTCACTTGGAATGCTTGCTCTGTAAGAGCAAAAAAGATTGAGCTTGCCGACTTCCTCCGCAAGCATAGCATCGACGTGGGCCTTCTAATCGAGACCCATCTAAAGTCCGGTGACAGCTTCTGGTTGCCTGACCACAACATTATCCGGCTTGATCGCACCAGCTCCAGGGGGGGTGGTGTTGCGGTCGTCGTCAAGAAAGGAATAAAATACCACACTCTGTCCCATATCCGCACCTCTATCATCGAGGCCCTTGGTGGGGAGGTGGACTCGTCGACTGGATACGTCCAGTTCATCGCCGTCTACTGCCCTCGACAGTGTGCCGCCAGCAGTGGACTAGCGGCCAAATTTAAGAAGGACCTGTCCACCATCACCCGTACCGGTTCCCGCTTCGTAGTTGGAGGAGATCTGAATGCTCGCCATGAGGCCTGGCGGAACTACCAGCAGAACCAGAACGGTCGTCTCCTGTTCGACCACTCACAGCATGGGCTGTATTCCGTTTGGTTTTCGGATGAACCAGCATTCATCTCACCAGCGGGCAACCCATCGACGCTAGACCTGTTCCTGACAAATATCGGTTTGTCCAAGCCGGTAGCCTTGAACGAACTCAGCTCCGACCACCAACCGGTGGTGGCTGAACTGGGCTACAACGTGGCTCCTGCTTCAAGCCTGCGCAAGGACTACCATCGCGTAAACTGGGCCCAGTTTGGACGCGTGGTAGACAGGCACATCATCGATAACCCGCCGCTTGACACCGTGGAGGACATCGACCGAGCGTTGGAGGGACTCCACCAAGCCATAACCGTGGCTGACGAGGCGTGCGTCCGACGAGTTCCTATGAGGGGTAAGTTTATTGCCATTGATTCCCACACTCAATTTTTGATTCGCCTGAGAAAGGAGTTGTGGAAGAAGAGCTGAAACGCAACAACCTTCAACCCGTGAAGGTTTTAATGATCAAACGTCACAACGAGGTGATCAAGTATCGCGATCAACTGTACCTGGTGCATTTGGTTGGAGGATCCACAAACATGAAGCAGCTTCAAAGCATCCGAACGCTGCTCAGTGTCGTCGTCGACTGGGAACGGTACAAGCCGGTCTACCGTGAAGTGGCGCAGAGTACCAGCTGCTTGAATTCCGGACATGGCGTTCGCAACTGCCATATGAAGTCGCGTTGCTCCAAATGCGGCCAACAACATGTCATGCCAACCTGTGTAAACTGCGGGAATGCCCACACATCGACTAGTCGATCGTGTCCCAAGCGGGCTGAATTCATCGCACTGCGGAAGAAAGCAAGCCAGCCGAGACAGCAGAAAAAGAAGCAACTACCCGGAATCGATCTGGAAAATGATTTTCCACCGCTTCCTCCAACCGAAGGATGCGCACCAAACCTTCCTCCCCTTCCGCTGCCCAGAAGGCAGTATAGGAATTCGACGCAAGCCGAACCAAGCAGCCTGGTGCTTTACCGTTGGTCCCTCCAACCGATGGTCTGACGCAGGTAATCAGTCATCTGACAACGCTGACAAAAAATGATGGTGCAAATGATGCACTTCATGGCGAACCTTCACGTTCACCATCAACGCCCTTAATTGGAACGCCCATTCAGTGGCGAGAAAACAGCCGGAAATCGTAGATTTCCTGCGCCAACATAACATCGATGTCGCGTTTCTAACCGAGACGTATCTCAAACTGGAGGTCAACTTTAGCTTGCCAAATCACACAATGGCTAGACTGGACCGAGTTCGAGCACAAAGGGGTGGTGGCGTTGCCATTGCCATCAGGAGAGGACTGGAGTACAGGATGCTGCCTGACTTTTGTCTATCGTTCGTGGAAGCCATTGGAGTCGAGCTGGCATCTCCGGATGATCTCATTACACTCATTGCCATCTACTGTCCTGCCCAAAGTAAGGAGTCGGATGGAACAATCGATCGTCTCAAGAATGACATCCAGAAGTTGACTCGTCGGAAGGGTAGGTTTATCCTCGCCGGTGATCTCAACGCACGCCACTCACTGTGGGGCAATGCAGGAAGTAACAAGAACGGAGCAGTGCTGGCCACGGACCTGCAGGCGGGACACTACGTGGTCCTCCATCCGGACTCGCCTACCTTCTACTCACCCACCGGTGTCGGATCCACCCTCGACATCGTTCTCACCAACATGGCGGATGGTTGCTGTGAGCCCCGTGCCATTACCGATCTGTTATCCGACCACCTACCGGTGGTTTTCGAGATAAATCAAACCATCCACCAACGTCAGCAGCATCGTAGGCGAAACTATCATCGAGCGAACTGGCTTCAATTCCAGCGGTTTATGGAGGATCGAGTGGTCGAAAATCCTGCGTTAACGACGACATACGCACTTAGAAAAGTTGATGTAAATTTAGGTGCTCTGAGACTGACATATACAAGCGTCAATTTTGACATAAAATTGAGTCATAATAGACGCGAAATTCAGCTCAATCAAACGTATGTACTTTCGAACTTTTCAGTCTCGGAGCACTTAATTTTACATGACATGTTTGTTTACGTCTCATCCTTTATGTCAAAGTTGGATTCCGTCACGTGTAAAATTAGTTATTTCTAAGTGTGTAGGCGAAGCAGAACTACGGTTCATCCCGACAACACCGGTGACATGTAAGTTTACCAACCTTGATGATGAGACCAAGCGTATAATATCTTAAGAATTGTGTTAGGAGGCAGTTCCAAAGAACGCAAAACGTTAGTAGGAAAGTTTTATATAACAAATTAAACAAAATTATTGCCATTAGGGTGGAAAAACTTAGGAACAGGCAGTTTGCAAAAGACCTTAGTAGTTAACCAAATTACTCTAGGCCCTTCTGGCGTTTAACAAAAGTGCGTAAAAACAAACCAAAGCCCATGCCGCCTCTTAGAGTTGATAATGAGGTTCACATAACAGCCGACGAAAGGGCGAACTCCATTTCTCAACATTTTATGGTTTCGCATAATCTGGATCGAGATATTATCAGCCCGATGGAGGGTCCGGTGCTTGAGAGCGTCTACCAGCTAGCTACTGAGCCTAGCGAGCTTCCGGTGGACCGGAAAATCACACTTGATGAGCTGGTGAACACCATCAAGTCGACGAAGGACATGAAGGTACCGGGTTTCGACAGACTCTTCAAGATTGTCCTGAAGAATTTGGGACCGAAAGCGCATTCTCTTCTGGTGAACGTCTTCAATCGCTGTCTGGAGCTTGGACACTTCCCAGCTACCTGGAAACGGTCCAAGGTGGTACCGATACCGAAGCCGGGAACGGATCCTACCAACCCGTCATGCTACCGTCCGATCAGTTTGCTTTCCTCGGTTAGCAAGTTGTTCGAAAAACTCATTTACGCCAGACTCCTCGAGCACACCGAGGCGAACGACGATTCCGACGAGGTCACTCGACGGTGGACCAACTTAAGCGGGTCTCAAACCTCATCAATTAGGCGAAGTCGGTCTTGAAGACAACGGTCATGGCGATACTGGACATCGAAAAGGCATTCGATAACGTGTGGCACGATGGCTTGGTGCACAAGCTTCTGCAATTTCGTTTCCCCAGCTACCTGGTGAAAATCATCTCGGACTACCTCGACGGCAGGACGTCTCAAGTATGCGTAGGCAGTGCTCTCTCGGAACCGTATGATGTACTCGCTGGTGTCCCTCAAGGAAGCATCCTGGGACCCATATTGTAAATCTGTACACATCGGACATACCGACACTGCCGCAAGGTGGAACACTGTCGCTGTTTGCTGACGATTCGGCAATCAGCAACGAGGGACGAGTAATATGCACTCTCGTATCGAAGCTCCAAAACGGATTGGATGCCTGCACCATATATCTCACCGACTGGACGATATGTGTGAACGCGGCCAAAACGCAAACCATTGTGTTTCCGCATAGCAACACTGACCGGCAAGCTGAAGGATGCCTCGCTGGATACGCCCAAGACTAGACGGGCGGTAGCTGGTGGCCGTGAACGGTTCCTGGGGAAAGCACTAGACGCGAACCTCCTCCCAGATGACCATGCCAATGCAGAAAGTATTACAACAAAGGTAATTGCTATTAGATATTTTTGCAAACAGTGACAGATAGCAGACATGAAAGTCAAGTGAAGGTGCTGGGGAAAGGTATTATATCCCAGACAAATGGTAAGTTACAAATTAGCTGTTGTAGTTGTCGTAGGCGCCGTCGTATTTGCCATCGTAGTCGCTGTCGTAATCACCGTGGTAGTCGCCGTAGGCAGTACCGTTAGTATATCTAAAATAAACCATCAACCCCTGAAACTATACGAATTATCGCGTTTTTCTGTTGTTCATTACATACCAAGTGAAATTCTAGAACATAATTTCATTTGAATCGCTTGTTTAACCAGGACTTGATCAATCATCACGTCGGCCATAGCTTGTTATGATTGCCTGAACCATGCGTAAAGAGCAAATCGAAACATTGAACATCGCGTGAAAGTGGAACTTAATGAAAGCCTAAGTACTCTTTCGTAGCTTTTAGTTTTAGGATTTGAAAGATCATCGGTTGCAGTGGCTTGCTTACTGAGCAGAAAAACGCGGTCCCATTTCATTTTAAAAATGTATGGTAAGATCACTTGTTTATCGTGTATGTTGTAAAACTTTCCGTTGTCGTCGGTGCCGGGTTTGAATATTTATAACAACTTGAGTAACGGTTTAATGTGACATAAGGGGCTCGGTGGCCTTAAAGCAACCGTTTTTGCTTACTGAGTAGAACATCATGAGTCGAATCACAAGCCCATCCACATTCAAG